AGGATCCTGTATGCTGCCCCTCCCCCCTTCACCTCCAGGATCCGGTGAAGGGCCTGGCTTGGCATGGGGGCAAAGGAAATCTCCGTGGGAGAGGGGCTGGAGCATCAGCGGGGCCAGGACCCCCTCCCCGCTCCTCTCCTCTCTCAGCCAGGGCGGGGCAGGGCCAGGGATGGTCACCGTGTTGGAATCAGAAGGGGATTTTTCACTCCGAGATTAAATATCTAAATAAGGTAGGGCCCGGAAACTGTCCACGGTAGCTGGTGGCAGATCAAATGTGACCTGGGGCCCTGCCCGAATAAGGAGACAGTTGCCCAGGCAATAGAGCCAGGATTTTGTGTTGGCAGGGCTGACAGGACGGGAGATCCAGAGCCAGGAAACCTGACATTCAGGACACATGCCCGGGAGAGAGGGAAGGACAGAGCTGAGCAGGTACCGAGCTCGGAGGCTGGCGGGGTGGGGATCCACTCCCTTCCCAAGTCCTGGGTCCCCCTCTGCCTATGCACCCCACCCGGCGGCAAAGCCCCCAGCCACCCACCCACGGCTCTTCCACGGGAGGCCCCTGGGCTCCACGCTGTGCCAGACGGGAGCCTCAGCCCCAAGCCCTCGCCGCCGTCCTGCAGGGCAAGGGACTTTTTCAACAACAAAGGGTTTTCCATAAATGCCTTCTAGAGCCTTTCTGAGGTCTGGGGTTAACTGTGCCCAAGGCCAGACTGAGGCCTTTATCGGAGGGGGCCCCCTCCTGCTGTAGAGCCACCAACAGAAAGTTCCAGGGAGCTTACCTGAGCCATGGCTGTGTCTGGTGGTGTTTGCCACTGGTGAGCCGGCTGTTGCACCAAAGTTGAGTTTTGCTTTCGCTTTCCTTTTGACATCACTTAGAAAACTGCTCAATGCTAAACTTTTTTTTTTTTTTTAAGAGAGACTAAATATTTCCTCTAAAGGGAAAGCCGGGAATCACTTACCCCAAAACCATGGAATCACTGTGGCTCATTATTGAACCCAGGTCTGATCTGCTCGCTGCACGAGAGAGACAAGAGTGTTGGGACAAGGAAAGTGATTTTATTCGAGAGAGTCAGCTAACCCAGAACATGGCCTTCTGACGTCCCAATAAACCACCCTCCTGTGTCGGTGCAGGCAGGGGTTTTACAGGAGAGACGTGAAGAGAGAAACCAGCTCATACAAGCGCTTGAGCAGTCAGATGTCTTCAATTAATGGGGGCCAGGCTCAGGTTCCCTAAGAAACTTCAAACAGAATTGATTACTAAAAGCTTCTCATGGGTTTCGGGAGTGACAGGCAAGAATGTGCTGATTATTTTGTGCAATGTGTTTTGTCTTAATGCAGTCATCCCAGTAAAATCTGATGGTCAGGGGCGCCTGGGTGGCTCAAGTTGGTTAAACTTCTGACTTCCGCTCAGGTCACGATCTCCCCGTGGGTGAGTTCGAGGCCCACGTCGGGCCCTGTGCCGACAGCTCAGAGCCTGGGTCCTGTCTTGGAATCTGTGTCTCACTCTCTCTCTGCCCCTCCCCCACTCACACTCTGTGTGTGTCTCTCTCTCTCCCAAAAATAAACATTAGAAAATTTTTTTTGGTTAAATAAAACAAAAATTCAAAGGTCAGCTAGTTTCCCTTCAGGCTTACGGTACAGTGTGCAGGCAGGTGTAATGCGGCATAACAAGGGAGGGAGAAGGGTCCAAGGCAAAATGAATTCAAGATGGAGTTAGTCTTGCTGTAGCTTCAAAGCCCCCTGGAGGCCGTCGGTCAGCTGCCAGCAGCCCCGAGGGGCGCATTTTCACCTGGCAATGTCCAAAAGTGGCAAAGGAAGATGGTTCTCATCACTGGTCTCTTTTTTCTCCTGGGAGTCAAAGCTTTCCCACGATCCCCTGCCTGTCTCGCTCCCACGCCTTCACTCCCCAACACTGGGTCCTAAACCAGTTGTGGGCTTCCTTGGATCCGAGGCAGGGCTCTTGTTGCCCAGTGAACCGCAGGGCCCTGTGAGCCTGGGGGAAGGCCAGGGGCAGTGTGTGTGTGTGTGGGGGTGGGGTGGGATGGGGAGATGGCCACTGGCGAGGCCACCGATACAGAAGAAGCCCTCACTCACCTCCTTCCCATCCGCTGTCACAACAGCTTTGTTATAAGGCCACACAGAGGCTGGAGACCGTTTGCAAACAACCAGACTGGTTCCCTATAGGATCTGCCAGGAAAAGCGGGGGGCAGTTGACTCAGTGACCGGCAGAGAATGTCACAGACTTGCCGACCTGATGCGGACAGAGCCCCCATCGGAAGGAGCTTATGCCTGAGGGGCTCAGGGAGGGCACTGCCTCTGCCAACATGACCCCCTGCCCCCTGGTTCTCTTGACTAGACCTTCTGACGGTCCAAGGTCTATTGGCTCCTTTGGCCTTGGCCCCAGAACGGCACCACCCATCCTGTTTCCAAGTGAACTTCATTTGTAAAAGCAGCCTAAGAGACTGGAGGGGCCAAGGGCAGGCTGCCCCACGACGGGCCACCTTGGCTTGAAGGTTATTTTTCAGTTAAAGGCAATCAGATCTGGCAACAGATTCAGGAAAAGCATTTGTCCTCTCGCACAAATGCCGAAAGGAATTTAGATGGGAGGCTTCTCTCTGGGAAGAGAGTTGTCACCACAGATAACTACATTATGCCACGAACCGGGTATAATAAACAGGGAGGAACCAGCAAGGGCTGTTTGATTAAAGTCCTCTGTGTCTCACCGTCTCTGGGTGGCCTGGCAATTATTTGCTGACCAAATAGTTGTGGATTCCCTGTAGGTACGAAACTAAAGTTGATTTTCTCTTGTTAATCTGTCTCATCTCCATTTAATTTTCAGTCCAGCTCAAAGGATCTTGAAAGGGCAGGGGAAAGCCTTCCCCCCTGATAAGTCATGACCATTCACGTCCCTGCACTGAGGTCACCTTCAAATTGAAAAAAGAAGAAGAAGGAAAACAACCCCCACAAAAACCAAAGTAAGTCGCAAGCAAGGTCTTGTCTCTTTCAAGCGGTGTCACTTTGGGCAGTCGCCTCTCTCTCCCGGTCTCAGTTACCTCCTCTTTAAGATGGAGGGCTTCGTCTTGGTCAGGCTAGAGGCTGTGAGTCTGCGGATCTGGAGCCTCTGGAGGGATGGTGACTCTGGTCATTGCTGACCCAGCTGGAGCCACCTCTGTCCCTGGACTTCAGTTGCTGAGGCCTGTCTCCAGGTTCAAAGTTGGTGGGTGGTTTCGGCAGGTGGTCTGTTAGGTGGTCTGTGCCTCTGCCCCCAGAGGCTCTTCCCATGCTTACCCATCAGGGGGACTTGCCGCCGGCC